ATAATAACCATTTTGGTCCATTTTCACTGCTTTATACCCCAGGGGTAAGCAAATTGCCTGTAAAGGGCCATTTGGGGTGTTTTTTTGTCTGTTTTGTTTTTTAAGACAGTCTTACTCTGTAGCTCTGAACTCTCGGTGATCCTCCTGGCTCAGTCCTGAGTGCTGCCATTACAGGTGTATGCTACCACACTCAGATGAGAGGAAGTATTTTTTTGTGTGCATGTGCTAGGAACTGAACTCAGGGCGTTGCGTTTGCCAGGCAGGTACTGCACAATTGAGCTGTATCCCTGGCCCTGTACGAGAAAGTATTTTGAGAGGGAATAATGGCAATGTGTCTTTTCCTGCAGTAAGATTTTTTTTTCTTTTTTTTTGGGCGGTGGTACCAGAGATCGAACTTGGGACCTTGTGCTTGCAAAGCAGGCAGCAGAACCACTGAGCTAAATCCCTGGCCCTGCAATAAAAATTTTGACTTTAGCTTTTTGGAGACAGGGCTTGCTATGTATTCAAGGTTGTCCTTAAACTCATTATATAATCCAGGCTTGCCTCAAACTCATGGCAGTTACCTGCCTCAGCATCCCAAGTGTTGGGATTACTGGTGTTTGCCACCACACCCAACCACTGGAATAAGTTTTTAAGCATTTCAAGACTACTGTATTTTTTATAATACCTAGTATTAGTAAATAGTATGTAAATAATTTTTACCATATCTAAAAATAGTCTAAGTTAATAAATTAAAACAAGGCAGGCATGGTGGCATATGCCTGTAATCCCAGCACTTGGGAAGCTGAGGCAGGAAGATCACCATGGATTTCAGGCCAGGCTGATCTATACATAGCAAGATGCTATCTCTAAAAAGCAACAGCAACAACAAAAAAAAAATCCAAGAAGTAGCTCTAAGTTCCTGTCACCCTAATCTTTTCTTGATTTGATGGTCTGGTTGGCTGAGTTTATTTGGGGTGATGGACTTAAAAAGGAAATGTAGATGGGAAACTATGAACTATTCAGAAGTGACTTGAAAGTATCTCTGAGGCCTTTTTAGCACTGGAAACTTAAGGAAATTTTCTTTCTTTTTTTTTTTTTTTGCCACGATTTAATCAAAAGGATGATCAGTGGCGGTTATAAACTGCAGTTTGCCAACTCCTGTCTTTGAAGATGGATGTAACTTCTTGTGCAGGGCCAACTGGGAATCTGGGCCACAGCCACAGTCCACTGCCACAGTTTCTTCTGGGCATCTCTCGTACTCGCCCTTTCTTCCTTTCCTGTCCTGTCCTGTCCTTTCCTTTCCTTTCCTTTCCTTTCCTCTCCTCCCCTCCCCCCGCCCCCCGACAGCATTTCCCTATGCAGTCCATGCTGGCCTTGAACTCATGGCAATTCTCCTACCTCAACCTCCCAAGTGCTGGAATGTTAGGCATGTACCACCATACCCACCTATTCTGAGAATCATTGAAATTAATTTGTATCAGTTTGGTTCCATGTGTCTGCTGAAAAGCTAGCTAGCTAGCTTGCTTGCTTTCCCCTCTCCCTTCCTTCTTTCCTTCCTTCCTTCCTTTCTCTTTCCTTCCTTCTTTCTTAAAAAAATAATTGGAAAGTTTTACTTATTCATTTTGAACAATTAGGAGCTAGGCATGGTGGCTGATTCTTCTAGTCCCAGTTGCTCTGGAGGCAAAAAGAGAATCCATCACACCCTGGAGTTCAAGACCAACCTGGGCAACACATTTCATATAAAATATATTAGGTAATACATAAATGATGGAATCAAACTGGATTAGGATATTGCCAGTGAGAACTCAAATACATAGCTCTTAAGAGTGTAAATTATTGCACGTTTTCTTAAAAAGCAGTTTGTTCATTTCTGGTAAATGAAAAAAATTTGATAAATTCATCAGTTTTTTTAAAAAGCATATACACTCAAGAAACTGGCTGGGCCCTGCATGGTGGTAGACACTTGGAACTCCAGCACTTGGGAAGCTGAGGCAGGAGCAGCACGAGGCTGGTTTGTGCTGCATAGTGAGAGTTCAAGGCCAGCCTGTGCTACAAAGCAAGACCCTGTCTCAAAAAAAAAAACCCCAAAAATCCCAAAAAACAAGTGGCCAGTATGCCAGAGGGGAGAAGTGCAAGTATGTCTCTTGGGGCATTATTTGGAATATTGAAAAACTGAAAATATTTTCAACATCTTTTCAAAAATAGTTAATTACAAGATGATATAAAATACTATACAGAAATGAAAATTAATGAACTGCAGTGAAAAAAATCTGCGTTGTGTTTGTGACCTTGCTGGACAGTCAAGTAGGAAGTCAGACTGGTAAGATCCTGAAAGGGCGAGTGAGTCACCCATTGCATCTCACCTCAGGCCTGAGGGGTGAGGCTTCGGTCTAAATAAACTTCGGTCCAAGCCACAGTCTAAGTGCCATTCTCGGCCAGACAGCATACAGGGTTTGTGTTAGTGCATTACAGCGTTCGTCATTTACTATTTATTTTTGGGTGGTTTTTTTTTTTTTTTTTTGGTACTGGGGATTGAACTCGGGTCCTTGCGTTTGCAAGGCAGGCCACCAAACTGCTGAGCTAAATCCCCAGCATTTTTGGGTTTTTTTAAATAAATTGTATTTTGTTTTATCCCATTCCCCCTTCACCTTCCCTCCGCTCCCTATGTACAGAAGCTTTGTTTCCATTTTTTCTATTTTTACCTTCTTGTCCCTTCCTTCCTTTCTCTTCCCTCCTCCCTTGTTCCTCTTCCCATTTGAACACTTTCTTCCCATTTCCCAGCATCCATTATACGTCTTAGTGCTTATTTCCCCTATTTTGGGTTTTTGGAGACAGGGTCTTGCTCTGTAGGCGGAGTCTTGCTGGCCTTGAACTTGTGGCAGTCCTCCTGCCTCAGTCGAGTGCTGGCAATATAGGCATGTGCAACTTGTTGGGCATCAAGCCAAGTTCCCAAAGAAAAGAACCAGGTGAGCAGCAGCAGATAGCATGAAAAAGGAACCATCTTTTTGTTGTTGTTTGTTTTTTTGGTTTTTTTGAGACAGAGTCTCATTATGTAGTTGAGACTGACCTGGAACTCACTGCTCACTATGTAGCCCAGGCTGGTCTCACCTCGATCCTCCTGCTTCAGCCTCCCGAGTGCTGGGATTACAGGTGTGCGCCACCATGCCCATCTAGGAACCAACCTTTTAATTTCTAGCATCAGGGCAGCAGCAGCATTTCAGTTGGAGCTGCAGCTCTAGAGCTCAAGAGCTGGTGTCTTTATCAGCTTTTCTGTGTCGCAGTAAGACAAAACAGTTGCGTGACCTTGTATCGCTGTGGGGTCATCAGTGCTGATTGATGATTATTATGGCAAAGCCAAAGCCCTATCATGAATGATGGGGTTGTGTCCTCAGGTGTGCCCTCGGATGTCCTCAGACACCCAGGCTTTGACACATCTCATAGCGGCCTCCTACGGCATTACACCTGTTTGTAGTGTCTATAAAAATATTTCACCTATTTTATATTATTAAAAGACATGGTATTTTATTGATTGTGAATTTCAAATAATATAAACACATTTTCCCCGTTAAATGAGATTATAAGATGGGGAAAAAATTAAAAATGTAGTTCTAATCAGTGATTGCTACCTTCACTTTCCTGCTTTTCAGTATTGGCCACTCATGAAGGTTTATAGTCAGTGGAGTGAGAAATTAATTTTCAAAAATGATGAGATTTGCTAGGCCATAGTAATCTCTTAGCGCTTAGGATGCTGAGCCTGGGGGTTGACCACAAGTTTGAGGCCTACCTAGGCTACATAGTCAGTTCAAGGCCAGCCTGAACTTCAAACTGTCTCAGAAAGAAAAAGAAAAAATGAGATTTGTATACAGTTAGCACTTTATAGGAGTAAGTACCCCATGTATATTTTGACTATGCTGAATTTTTTTTTTTTTTTCGGTTTTTTGAGACAGGGTCTCACTGTGTAGTTGAGACTGACCTGGAACTCACTTTGTAGCCCAGGCTGGTCTCAAACTCACAGTGAACCTGCTGCCTCAGCCTTCCAAGTGCTGGGAGTACAGGTGTGCGCCACCATGCCTGGCTTTTGCTGAATTTTTAGCATAAACTTTTTAAGCTTAATTTGGGTGAAGAATTAATGTTTAAACCAATCGTTTGGTTAAAAGAAATACATATATATGTTTTTGAGACAGGGTCTCACTATGTCATTCAGACTCTCCTTGAATTCTGTGTAGCCCAGGCTGATCTCTAGGCTTCCTGCCTCAGCCTAAGTGCTGAGATTACAGGCTTGTGCCACCACCCACAGCCAGATAATTTGTAATTAAATGCTGCACTTGTAATGCTATGCACTAGTTATGGCACAATTATGTTAAATAGAAACCTGAAGCCAGGTGTGGTAGCACACACCCATAATCTCAGCTTTTTGGGAGGCTGAGGCAGGAGGATTGCTGCAAATTTGAAGCCAGCCTGGGCTACATTGACTTCAAGGCCAGCCTGAGCTAAATGGTGAGACCCTCTCTTAAAAAAGAGAAAGAAACAAACTTGCATCACTCATCAATGAATGTGTTACATTAGATTTGAATATAATTAGATTGAGTCATTTTTCCTCACTGTCATTGAAATCATTTATATTTTTTCCAGCAGTATATGTATTCAAACCCACTTATTTAAAATTTCTCTCAAAGCCGGGCGTGGTGGCGCACGCCTGTAATCCCAGCACTCGGGAGGCTGAGGCAGGAGGATCGCTGTGAGTTCAAGACCAGCCTGGGCTACACAGTGAGTTCCAGGTTAGTCTTGACTACATAGTGACACCCTGTCTCAAAAAAGCAAAAAAAAAAAAAATAATAATAATAAAGAAAATTTCTCTAAATAAAAATTTATTTTTTAGTATAACATTTCAGTTGTTACTAGCATCAATGCTGTGAGACAATAAGGAAGAAGGGATTCGCAGCCTTAAAATTTTGAAAGACATATGCATTGGCCCTGTTTGAGATTCATGTACGTACTAAGTTGTCAAAAGTACCACGAAGTCTTACAGTAATGTTTCTTAGACTTAATTCTTCACAACTTTATTTTTCATATATCATTTATTACCAGCATGCTTTGAGAAATGTGTGGTATACTCTTCATACTTACAATATATACAAATAATGATTTCTATCTTAAAGCAGGACAGAAGGAGCAAGCTGTGGAATGGTATAAGAAGGGTATCGAAGAGCTAGAAAAAGGAATAGCTATCATAGTTACAGGACAAGGTAAGGTTACATTTATATTTGTAAATGTACTCCCCACTTATCAATGGTTCCAAGTTCCCTAGTGGATACCAGAAACTGCAGATCCTACCAGGCCATATGCACTACACTGATAACCAAAATGGCTACTTTGTGCAATTTAGCATGTACAGTATAGTGTGGATATGTTGGAAGAAAGGTCGATTCATGTCATGGGTAGGACAGGCCAGGCCTGGGTGAGATTTCATTACACTCTTTTGAAGAATACACAGTTTAACATGTATGACTCGAGTATTTCTTGGCCTTTTTTTTTCCTTTTAATTTTTTGTTTGTTTTGGTTTAGATTTTTTGGACAGGATCTCATTATATAATGCAGGGTGGCCTTGAACTCACTGTGTAGCCCAGGCTGACCTGGAATTTATGTCAGTCCTCCTGCCTCAGCCTCCTGAGTACTTGGATTACAGGAGTATGCCACCATGCCTGGCTTGTTTAATATTTTTGGGCTGTAGTTAGCCACAGGTAACTGAAACTCCCAAAACTGCAGATAAGGGAAAACATAACATTCACATAATTACCCTGGTTTCAGAACTTTTGTCTTACTAAAGTTAGACATTTTTAAATGTTATTGTTAACAGCCAGGTGTGGTGGTGCATGCCTATAATCCCAGTACTTGGGAGGCTGGGGGCAGGAGGACCGCTGTGAGTTTGAGACCAGCCTGGGCTAGTTAGTTAGTTCCAGATCAGTCTCAACTACATAGTGAGACCCTGTCTCAAAAAACAAAACAAAAACAAGTGTAGGGAAGGTGGGATGGGAAGGGGAAGGGTAATAAGGGAAAAGAAAAAAAATGTGAGATAATGAAAAGATGGAAATAAAGTATTTGTAGATGGGGAGGCGAGGAGGGGGTGAAGGGAGGGCAGGGACAAGGGGAATAAATGAGAACCAAGACTTGTCATGTAGAGGTACAAGATCCCAACAATGAATGTAACTGTACTGTATCCCTAAAATGTACCAATAAACTCAATTAAAGCTGAAAAAAAACCAAAAAACAAAACAAAAAGTTATTGTTAACATTTATAAACAGTTAATATTTTATTCTAAAAATGGAGGTGTATCTGGATATATTCAAACTTGGATTACTTGTAACAAGTAGTACATTACTTACTATATTCTTAGAGCCACTGTTGGTCATCAGTTAAATGCTTTAGCCCTAGGTTTTCTTTTGTTATGTTTTGTTCTTTGAGACAGGGTCTTGCTATGTAGTCCAGGCTAACCTTGATTTCATTATGTAGCCCAGGCTGGCTTTGAATCTTCCTGCTTCAGCCTCCCAAGTGCTGGGATTACAGGCTTGTACTGCCACACCCAGCACATTAGTCCTGTTTTGAAGCCTGTTCCTTTTTTCATTATCAAAGAGAAAAAATTGTGTTAATCCACAGGTTCCCTTTGTGCTTTTGGGTAGTGCTTCATTTTGTTTGTTTTGCTTTGCTGGGAACTGAACCCAAGGTCATACAATTAAGTCTGTTTACACCAGCATGTTTGAGGGCACTGTCATACATTTGGTCCACTGTTGGCGAAAATGTCATTATTCAGCACATGATTGTATTTCATTTTATCATGGCTAAAATAAAATGAGAAGCAAAAATTATTTAGGCTAAGAATCAGTCCATTTGTTGGGTAGCCGGCTGACTCTACTGTCTAATATGGGCTAATCTCTTTTTAATTATAGCGTGTGCAATACCGACCCTGCCTTTCTTCCTTCCCTGTATATTGTAATGACCACTTTGGCTACTGGTCTCCTGTATTAAAGAAAGCAGAGTAAAGCAAATAAATATGGGAAGTTGGGCCTTCGAGACCTTGATAAGCATTCAGGTCTTTGTCAGTTATATGGAGGAAAAATTAGAAGACAGTGGATTAGTTGTAAGAAAAACAGTGTTTTATTAAATAAAAAATGTCTTCAGGGGCCGGGGATTTAGCTCAGTGGTTCCACTGTCTGCCTCACAAGCACAAGGACCTGAGTTTGATCCCTGGTACACTCCCCCGCAGAAATGTCCTCTGTTGTATCACTAAGAGGAAAACCCGCAAACTAGACTATGATAATTTCTTCTTGTCCCTTGGAACTTGAATTTTAGTCTCATCAAATAAAATGTGTTATTTTACTTAGATGTGAGAACAGTATCGATATCTATGACAGATGTGTACATGCACAGCACAGGCTATGACTATAACCTGGCTAAGAGCATTTGTAAATTCTCACTGATGATAAATGCATCTCAATTTCAAGCATTTTGAAAGCTGGGTGAAAAATGTTTTAGGTTCCATGAAACATGCATGAAGTACCTCATAGGTTTGAAACTATCATGAGAAACTATAAGTGATTTTTTTTGTAGATACTATTTGAAAATAATATTTCAATAAAATCTTTGATTCTCCATGAGACTAGATGGAATGATGCTTTCTCTTGAAACAATATTAGCAGAGAATAGTAGATATTTTAAGTAATTCTTGTTTAATTTTAGGTGATCAGTGTGAAAGAGCTCGACGTCTTCAAGCAAAAATGATGACTAATTTGGTTATGGCCAAGGATCGTTTACAACTTCTAGGTATCAATTAATGTAAAATTGGATATGAGATATATTTGAAATGTGTTTCATTAATCTTTAATTGCAATGGAGATGGATCTGTGATTAAAAAATGTGGCTTGGGCTTTAACTTACAGAAAGCTTCTAGCATTCTTTTCTACAAAAGAAAAGAATATAATGAATACCTTATTATGTGTCACTCAGCTCACTCAGCTTTGTTAATTATCACTTTGTGGCCATTTTTCAGTTATCTGTAACAAAGACTGGTAGATGATAGTGGTGAAATTCAGCTCTGCTTTTGTTTTTTTTGTGGTTGTTGTTTTGTTTTTGGTACTGAAGATTGAACCCAGAGCCTTTACACTGAGCCACATGTCTTTTTATTTTTTGTCTTGGTTTTTGAGACAAGATCTTGCTATGTAATTCAGGCCTGAACTCACTATGTTACCCAGGCTGTCCTCAGACTGGAGGAAAGCCTTCTGCCTCAGCCTCCTGAGTGCTGACCCTGTAGGCCTGTGCCACCATGCCCAGCCATTTGTAAAAATTTTGGGACAGAGTCTAGCTAAATTGCTAAGTTTCCCAGGCTGGGCTTGAATCAAAAATCCTCTTGCCTCACTCAGTCTCTCAGAGTGCGCAGGTGTAGACCACCATGCCTGGCTTCACTGATTACGTTATAATAAAACTAGGGCCAGGGATGTAGCTCAGTAGTATTGTATCTGCCTAGCAAGTGCAAGGTCCTGAGTTTGATCGTCTGTACCAAAAAATTTAAAAAAAAATTTTTTTTGTGGGACACACAGATGCTCCTCTTCCTTTATGCATTCATGGCTGTTATACTGGCAGAGTTGAATTGTTGCTGCAGGGACCATAAATCCTTCAAGCCTAAAATATTTAGTATCTGGACCTTTAAAAAGTTTGGCAGCTGTTCCACCACCTACTTTGTAAGTGCAAGGACCCAAGTTTGATCCCTGGTACCAAAAAAAAAAAAAAAAAAAAAAAAAAAAAAA